AGAGAGAGAGAGAGAGAGAGAGAGAGAGAGAGAGAGAGATCAGTCGCACGAATTTTCGTGTATCTCTTCTCTCGACTGACACGGCGCGATATAACGTAGCGCGTTACGCAGCGTAAAAGGGCACAAGAATACACACGAGCCGCTCTCGTCTTACAGAAGAAAGGAACGCACGCGCGTTCGGCCGTCACTCTAAGCTGCATCCGGCAAAGCAGCGGTTTTTTGCACCGCGCCGGGTATTGCATCCTTAAGCTCCACCACTTGTCTTGGAAGTGGTCGTTCTGCCGGAGCGAGATGTTCGCGGCTGCACGCGGTGTTGCGACTTCGCGAGCGCAACTAAAACCGGCAAAAGCCGGAGCAGGAGGAGCGAATCTGACAATTGGCCGTAGTTGTGCAAGAATGATCTAACCTACATAGAGTACACTTCAAGAAGAATGAAGATGAAAGCTTAACTAAATACGATTTAAAAAGTATAGACAGCATTGAAGCTTTTCGCAATCGTTCAAAAAATCAAGGATGTTCAATTTTCTTCTCTTTAAGTATTCATTGTCAACTTTAATTTAAAAAATGAATAAAAAAAGACACAACTAGTAAGAAATTAAAGCTGTTTTTTTTTTCCAGTAATTTTAGGCACACATAAGGGGTTTGGATTTTTTTTATGTAAAAAAATGTATGCGCTATCCATTGGTAACAAAAACTCGAAAATTATAATTTTATAAGTTGAAACATTCTTGCACGACTATTTTACAGGACTAATTATCAGGATTATTTTGTTCTTTTCTGCGGAATATATACACAGGACTCCGATAACGCCTCTCCTTTCCTGTGTAGGAGTCCTGTTTAAGTCCTGTTCTAAATTCTTTTTTATCGAAGAAAATGCTTCTGAAAATGACTTATAAACCTTTTGATTGGCTATAAGCTGACAGCTTTATCGACAAAAGAGAATTCTAGATAAGAATCGTGATCTTTAAGTGCGTGCAGAACGCGATAGAGCGTCTCGTTTTGATACTCGCCGTCGTTTCGAGAATCCGGTCCTCGCTGCTTCGCGAGAGAACTGGCAGCAGCTTTGAGAACGCGGAGATTTCTCTCAAGGGAACCGGAACTTAAAAGAAAAGTAATTAGTGCAACACACGTGAAGGACTGCGCGACAGCCACGCTGTATTTTCGAGTCAAGGAGCATTGCGGAATGAATGAAATCGGAGGTGGAATAACCGCGCGAGTGCGTTACGAATCCGGTGAGTTTTACGCGTCGATTTATTACACACGATTAATCCCAGCAACTAGTCTCGAGTTTCGTCTCACAACCTTACTACGGGAGCTTCGCTCAGCGCGCGTAACGTCTCAATTACGCTTTTTATCATTATGAAATAGTGTATATTTTCCGCGCACTCCGAGACTTTCTAATTAAAGAGAGGCATTGCGCCAAGCGGCGAGAGAGATCTCTTTAACCTTCCAGCCTTTACGCTTAATCCGGAAAAGCGAGACACTGCGAAAGAGAGATGGAACGATTGAGTCTTTGGCGGAGAAGAACGAGAAAAGAAAAAGAACAGAATTTCAAATGCATACGCGAGTCGCGCGGTATCTCTAAAGAATATTCGATACACAGAGAGAATATTGTAGCAAAATTGTAGCACTCCGAAAATAGACTGGCACTATGATGAAAATTATAATAAGACAATAAAAGTCATCATGAATATAGTAAAAATCACTATAAATATAGTAAAAATTATCATGTTTATATGGTCATTTTTACTAAGTTTGATTATAATTTTCGTAATAATGTCAGTTTATTTTCGGACTATTAAAATTGTATTGTAATTTTTACTACAATATTCTCTTCGTGTATCGTGTAACCATACATAATTTCCCTTTCCGAAAGAAATACTTCCGTTTCAAGAATCGCGAGAATATCTCGATTTTGTCCATCGACGAAAGAAATTTCATCCTAATTTCACCACGAGACAGAATCCCCCATCCTTTATAACCTCGACGTTTCATAGTTTTTCTCCCATTCTCCCATTTCTGCCATAGACCTCACCTTGATAGCAGTATACTTTCTACCACTTATCTTTACACCTCTTTTTTTTCCTTATGGCACTTTTAAAGTGCAAACGTCACCACGCCGGTTAGCGCGAGACGTAATGAAAGCACGACCGTGAAGGGATCCGTCGCGGTGTCTGTGCGCGCAAAACGCGGGTGTTACGCGCGGTTGCGCTTCGCTTCTTGGTTCTCAAATGGTTAAACGTGCCGAGAAAGACGATCGCATTATTAGGCGCAATAAAGGCGCGCGACGAGCTCCGAGACGCGCATTAATTCGGGTCGTTTGCGCTTCGAGCGCGCACGCACTTTTATCTACGGCGCCGACGTCGTATATCGGATCGAAATGTGAATGCAGAGTGGGCGCAAGTGTGAACACGGCTATTCGATACGTCGATTTGTAACTTCCGCGTGCAAACAAGCGCTTGCGAGATATTTATAAAGACACCAACAATCAGTATTCCATTTATGCATGAAATAAACGAATTTAATTAACCGATTTAAATGTCATTATTATCGAATAAAATCACTTAAATATCATTAAGAAATCTTGAATTTTAAGTATGAAAAAGTCAATGTAAATCTTAATGGAAAAATTCATTTTTATATTGTCAGCAGCTCTAATCTCCTCACTTTTATATCGATTAAGATAAGATAAAGATAATTATAATATCAATAAAGATAATTGTAATATTAATTTTAGATCTCTAGGAAATAGACTTATTTTTTAATGAAAAATTGAAATTCTAATCTTAATAGATTAAAAACTCCTCTAATAACTTGTAGAAAAATAGTTGTTCGCGTTGACTCATATCCAGCACTCTATTTTCATTTAACGTTAAAATTAGTGTTAAAATTAATCGAACTCGGCTTGCCAGTTACACCAATTTACACTACAGAATATTTCGAAGATAACGCATTTGAAGATCTTGCTTCAATGTTGCATAAAATAGAGAAAACGTTCTCAAAATAAAGTTATTCTGCTTTTCACCAGATCGTTCCCATTAATCATTCCCAACCAATATGATTTCGTCGCATTTTTGTGTGCGTGTGCATGTCAAAATTGACTTATATGGAAATTTTTTAACCGTAGTCTATACAACGAGACAGTGCAGATGATGAAGGTCACTTACGTGATCGACGCGATGATACACACATTAGTAAACACGCAACTGGCGCGTCTGCGACGTCGAAATACCCCTCTTTATCCGGCCAACTAGGACGATAATCTACGATGATACGGAAATCGCTAACACGAATCAATGAACGTAAATTGGTGTAACTGACCTTCAAAGTTCGTATCAACAATGTGAGAGAACTCGCCGCTCGCGCGTGTCTGCAGCCTATTTTGCTCGCGTATTCCGCGAATGCATTGCCAACGATTTTTACCATTCGAAAGATATTAGATGTGAGGTCGTATTCTTGACGCATACTCAAACGTTAAGTACGCCATTTTTATTCCAAGTTTTTCTTATACGAATATCATGCTTGGTTGTTTAGCTTGAGAATCAAAAAGGCGTGCTTAGTGCTTGAATATAGTCACTGTTCTTTTTCAAGGAACTTGTCGAACTTGTGCACACATCCGGGATAATAGTCTTAATATTTTGCAAAAATAAATTTCTCGATTACATGCAATGTGTGTATACATTTGTGCGTCATGACTGTTGATTATTTTGACAAGTTTGTCCAGTAATTATATTATTAATTATTACGATATATATTGTCCATTATTACAGTATTGTTATTATTTACTATTATTTCATGTTCTAGTTATGAGTTAATTATTACAGCACAAGTCCGTCGGTAATGACTCTCAATTTTGACAGTATCGTATGTTGCCAACTTCATCGTGTCTACACTGTTTTGCAACCTATGCACACTGGTGTAATAAAATAGAATGCAAGACAACCTGTTTCGCTCGACCTTTTTGTACTTAGTATACGCTAGTTCAAAAAGTTCACTGGAAAAGAACAGTCCTTCTTTCTCGACGAATCATGCGAATGAGCGCGAAATACGAATTTTTGAGGTTACATGGCGTCGCGGAAAACGGCGCCGCTCGGATCGAGCGAGAGCGCTTAGATCACGCCTTCCACAAGCTCTTTCACGTTAGCGCACATCTCTGCCACTAGACGGACGTGCAGCAGACAAACCGAACGGGCGAGAAAAAACACAGAACTCTCACTCACCGAAGAAATCCTCCCAGCTAACCGAACCGTCGGAGTCCACGGCGCTGGCGTTCGCAGCTTCCGCGTCCGCCTCGCTGCCCATCGCGACGTCGTCCACAGCGAGTCTCGACGTGCGTCCTCCACGTATCGCACTCCTTATTCGGTCGATCAGCAGCAGCAGCAGCAGCGTTAATCCCTCGCGGGTCGTCGCTTGTCAACGTTACGTTCTCGTTACAACGCGCATCGGTCATCTCACGTCACATCGCGCGGCGTCTCGTCGATCCATGTCGAACGGCGCGAGGACTACGCGTCCGCGAGAAACACGCGACAGCCGCGGCTGACATCTCCTCGAAACTTGGAGACTCGCCCGCCGGCGGGTGAACGTTCGCGAGCGAACGGGAGACAGAGAAAACGGGCACACGCACTGCACTATTGCCGGACGGGACGCGACTGAGAAACACCACCGAGAGCCGATGGATGCGGCGCGCCGAAATTCACCGAGGGTGAACGATCGCGGACGGGAAGGCTGGCTGGCTGGCTGGCGGGCGGGCGGGCGGGTGCGACGCGTTCGCGGGACGAGACACGACTGACACGGCGTCGCACGGCCGGCGCGCGGCGCCCGCCGAAACTTGCCGAAGGTGAACGAACGCGCGCACCGTGCGAGAGAGAGAGAGAGCGAATCGGTTCGGGGCTCGCGAGCCACCGACCGAAAAGCTCCGCGCGCGGGCAATTGTTGATCAACAACGCCGGCCGGACGCGTCAACCGCCAGCGCAAAAACGCACGTCGATGTCTCTTTACCTGTTAAACGCGACGCTCAGCAGAGCAGGATTTTGCACGCCGTTTCCAGCGACATGGGATAACGCGCACCGGCGCGCCTCGACAAGCTCACGGCGACTGATCGCTGCGGATTACCCGGCGTGACTGGCTTCCGGTAAGGACCGTGCAGCTTCCGTTTCATCGCACCGTCCGTATGGCTTATTTCGACTGCAACTTCTACGCTATGCTGCGTTATCTCAGCAGGATTTTGCGTCGAAAATCCTACTAGGAATTTTTCGACGATCCAAATCGAGTCCAATGGTACGTATTTCGAGATCGAACGCTCCAAATTGCTCGGGTTCTTGCGGTCTGAAGTTGTGCTCCAACAGTTCGAATTGTTCAAGCCGTGAAGTTGGGCGATATGGAGGCAATAACAATGGAGGCTCTGTTTCTCGTCTACAGTAAATTCTCGAGTTTTCTCTTCATATCTGAATAAACAGAACGGCTAAAAGCTCCTCGGGTACTGCGAATCGACAGCTCGATTTCGTTCGGACTATTTGATCACAGGATATTTTTCAGGTCTATCACATCAACTCCAATCGCGGTTGAAACTGATACTGCAGTTCTGATGAACGACGGGGGAAAGGGTAAAGTTCGTGTTTAGTCTGTGTAAATTATCTCAAGTTACCTCTGCTCGTACGTTCCACTTGCATTTTTGTGCGTTTGAAGCGAACATGCACTTACGACGGGCGAAAAAATGACTTGAAGCGTACAGAAAGCGCAATCAACACGAACGTGTATTCGATTACCGACAGACAATCGTAATTCTTGCAGGTTTTCCCGGGGCGGCGCAACGTATGAACGTAAGACGGCTCTCGGGAGGAACGAACGAAATTTGTAACAACTGACGAGCTGACGACGACCGGCTGAATGCACCGACTGTCCTCCGGCTGGCGCTCGAGAACACCAACATTATGAATCGAGTTCGGCGACAAGTAGCAGCCGAGCCGCTGGGAGCGATCCAACGACGCGAAGCAGCTAGAGTTGTTACGTCGATACGAAACGCCGACACAGCTGGGGCCATCTTTCTAGTGAGTATATCATATTGTTGAAAATTGACAAAAGTACAAAGCTTTTTTAATTGAACGCGTGAGTTTAGCTCGTGATTCAGGACAGTTTTGATAACCCATTTGATTGTGCAAGATATCGACATTACTTCTTGTTGAGAATAATGTCAAAGACAAGTCTTTATTCTGAATTCTTCTTTATCGTTGAAAGTGCCTCTAAATGAGTTTATAAACCAATCAAAAAGCTTAAAAGTCACACTCAGGATCGATTTTTTTTTCAAAAACAATTTGAACTTGAATTTAAGTTGAAACTTTATTCTAACAATATTAACATTGGCAAGCAATATAAATATTGCTGTTATACAGAATTTAAATCTAAATCTAAGTTTGAAGAGTTTAAACCTAAATCTAAGTTTGCTCAGAGTTTAAACTCGAATTTAAATAAATCTAACTTAAATCTACTATTGAAAAATTGGCCTTTAGAGACAATTTTACAGATAAAAAAGAAGATTTCAAAACGAGGACATTGGTGAGCGGTTTGATTTTGAAAAGATGTTGACTGATGTGCGCTGTTCTTTATGTCGCATTTGAAAGGATAGAAATTTTCACTGAAATCGCCATGAATCGTCAAAGTGACGCGATGAGTAACGTTTGGCGTGTCGTTTCAACGTGAAAGTGGAAATTCGAGACGCATTGCGTAGAATATTTACGAGTTAGGGTAAAACACGAGGCAAAAGATCCTCTCCTGAATATTGCTCAACCGGCGCCGTGTGAAAGTCGCTGTACATTCTTTCGAAACCCCGCACGCACGCTCGCGTTTATTTTTCGGAGTGTGGAATACGCGCGGCTACGCGTGCATGCGTACGTGTATATTAGGAGACGTTATATACGCGCGCACGCAAGCAAGCACGCACGATACGTCGACGGAATCGCCGTTCTATTATTAGACCGCCGGCGCTCGTCGTTGCATCCGACGGCGGAATGAATGGAGAATATGCCCTCTGAATATTAGGATGTCGTTCATCGTGCCTTCTCGAGCGAAATTATCCGTCACTCGTCGAGAAATGTAGATTCGCGATGTAAACCCGAACGCTTTCTTTTGGTTTCTCCTTCTCGGAAAGTCGGTCGCGTATCGCGGTAATTTTCGGAAATCGATCTTTATGTCGACGCACATTTCGATAATTACATTTTTACACGGGCTCTCTGCCGTATCGTGCAGTGCGACGATACAAAAAAGAAAAAAACGATCAGGAGAATCGTTGGTGATGTATACTTGCCTTTTATTTCGCATCGTAATATACCCATAAACAATATACTGAACAGTAAATATCGCTCTAAGGAAATGCAGACGCGAATACAATCTATCGCAATTTGTTTACATACATTCTTCTTGCATTATCTATACCTAGTTGAACGTACCGGCTAAATTGATGTCGTCGCGTCTTACGAAACAATAATAGCTTACGATCACGTTGCAATCTCTAATACTTAGGAAAGCACGATTCTATCGCGCTGTACCGTTATAATCATTACAATTACGAAATCGGTCTTATTGCCAGTGAGATATCGATTTGTACAAAGTAATCTAACAACGAATTTGGCCAAACTTGTGTTGACAGGATAGTAGGTTTTTCGTTTCCTTCTCGCGAAAAATTCAACTGACGGTTCCATTGCAAATCTCCCTCGTACGAAATTGAATGGAACTAAATAGTTTCTCGGATATCGCCGCATTGTCGCCGCGATATCTATCACTTTCCGCGTTTAAATATAAATGTAAGAACTTTCGCATAGAAATACAATATAAATATAGATGACGATTCGAAGAGTGATGATTTGTTTCGAGTTTCCGTGGCACAGGTACTATACAACTCAGGATGACATAAATAAATTATACAATTGTTTCTCTCGTAAAAAAAAATTCTAACGTAGACCTGTAAATCTATAATCACGATGACGAATGTACTAACAATGATGGAACATTAATTAATAATGTCCTAATTATCTAAAATTATCATAAATAAAAGCGCATAACTGATACTGCAATGATATGCGGTAAAACCGTAATGACATTCTCAATATACATAGTAAGCTCGGGAATTACGTTATCGAGTTCCTTATACGGTGTGTACAAAACAGTATGATCTGATTGTGTAAATGTTAAATGAAAATGTATCCTATCCTCCTGCAAACAATAAGCACCCATTTTAAGTGTCATGACAGAGGTAAACTAAACGTCGAAGTAAACTAAACACATATTCACATTTACGTTTCGCTTACAATTATATGTATAAAGTATCATACTATTATAAAAATATAACGTATCGTCGTAGATCCTCGTATTCTCAGATAACTATATAAATCATCGGGACGAAAGTGAAGAAACGTCGCACATTTACACATTGGCCTTAACAAAAATGAAAGCATATACATAACATGATGAACACCTGCGCTATCTCCTCCTATCAATTTCGCATGAAATGTTAATCGAGACAGACATCTTCATAGACAGTTTCTTCTTAATATTTTATCAATCTTGAGCATCTAGATAGAGGAAAAGAGATACAATTGTTATGGAAAACATGATTTTACGAGAAACATGACGTGTTCAAGCCCCAAGTCATATGTGTCTTTCGCGTTTAACATTTCTTTACGATATTGCACAATTAATTTTTAAATAAAAATCTCGCTACAGAGGGCGTATATCTCTATCTGTATCAAACTTCTTGCACAGCTATCTTTGTTACTTATATAAATAAGTTGTAAATTAATCCTGTTATCCGAACACTTTATATTATCCTTCCCGAACACGATCAAATCTAGTGACTGTAAAGTACAATTGTCACAGCGTAAAATTTAACGAGCTGAGTTAAAGATGATATATATTGGATGTACATGATTGAATTTCAGGCGTATGATTATACATGTACAAAATGCCCAATAAATTGTAGTATGATCATTTCTTTGCCGATTAATTTGTTAGACATCTGGTATATGCATAACAAAGTACGCTAAATGTGGAACTGTTATATGAATTGCTCTAACGTGTTAAATATTTATTATTATCCGGTTTATTCGAGTTATATTTGATCATATATGATGTGTGTTAATGTTAATGTAAATTCAAACCAATTTAATATGCGAAGTTCATGATCTTGGTTCGGTAGCTATAAATTTGAGTTCTGCGGAATATTACGATATCCACAGTTCATGTTTTCTATACGAATATCATTAATTCTATTGGATTTCTGCGGATTTGTAGGAGGAAGTCACTTAGCATTTATTTGCTAATATTATTATTAGTTTGTTCACTATACAACTATTTAAAAATCTTATGTCATGCCTACCGCACGAAGTTATCGAAGAACAAATCATAATTAATGAAGCAGTCTTAAACAAATTGGCGCGATGTGTCATCGATGGATGTGAAATTTTGTCCACATAATACTTTATTATATATTCCCTAATTGAAATGGGAGAAAGAGAGAGAGAGAGAGAGAGAGAGAGAGAGAGAGAGAGAGAGAGAGAGATAGATTAAGACTATCGTAAAAAAGTGCGATGTCAGCATATGTTATCTGCAGATTTTCACGGCGGATAAGTCGAAG